GAGACTTAAGACTAATTCTAAAACTCATATGAAGGTTCATTTAGAAATGCCACTTCTAAAACTTGTATTATCAGATAACAAAATGGATTTTTTGTACTAATTTATGGTTTTGGTACTCAGACAGTAAGTAAACTGACTAATGAAGACAAAAAAAGTCATATTTTATTAAGAGGTGACAGCCATATTTATGTGGAAAGAAAGAACTATTTAATAAATGTCACTTGGAAAACAGAATTTGTTTAGCAAAAATAGGAGGCAGAATGTAAAATTTAAACCCACATGGAAAAATACTTGCTGTAAAAAATGAAATCTTCAAAATTTTTATTACAAAAAAAAAAACAAAAATATTTCTGATTTTGGGGGAAAATCATTTCTTAAGCAAGACACAAAATATGATAGACACACACAAATTGTACACTTCATTGTGTTGTAATCAATGACTCCTGTTCATGAAAATAGAGGATGTAGAAATCAAAAAGACCCTCCAGAGGCTGAGATGAGATATCTATAGTACTTTTAACCAATAAAGGATTAGTATCTATAATATGGGTGGAATAAATACATGCTCTTTTATGAGAGTATAAAGTCTCTATCAGCCAAAAAAAAAAAAAAGAAAGAAAGAAAGATAACCAATAGAAAAGTGGGCAAAGGGGCTGGGGCTGGGGCTCAGTGGTAGAGTGCTTGCCTAGCATGTGTGAGGCCCTGGGTTCGATTCTCAGCACCACAAACAAACATAAATTAATAAAGGTCCATCAATAACTAATAAAAATATTTTAAAAAGAAAAATGGGCAAAACTACATATACAGGCATTTGATGGAAGAGGCTACACAAACTGCCAATAACAGACAGAAAAATCATGTCTCATTAGAAATTGGGGATATGCAAATGAAGCCCAGAAGGAGATGCCATTTTGCAGCCGTTACATTGACAAAAATAAAGAGCCCAATAATATCAAGTGTATGATGTATGATAATTCTTCCATGTCCCTGGTAAATGAGTGCAACTATTTTGAAAAAAAAAACACAAAAGCATTATTTTTAAAGATGAATATATTGATAACTAATAATGAAGAAATGCCACTTCTAAACCTGTGCTTTAGATTAATTCTCATGACAGTACACATAACAACACTGTAATAACAAGTAGACAAAGGGACTTTCCAGGAAGACAAGGAGGGGTAAATAGTTGTGGTATGGTCACATTTATAGAAACAGGAAAAAGAAAAGTACAATAGTATAACACTTAGGAATACAAACAAAGGGGTAAATGTAGCAAGAGAATGTTACACAAAATTCAGGACTATAGTTACCACTGGAGATAAAGCAAGAGAATATTTTTAGAAATTTGAAATTGTAATTACCTCTTGGGATAAAAACAGAATGATGGGCCTGGGGAAAAGCATAGAGTTGGCTGCACAGGATGGGCAATGTTCTGATTCATATGAATAGGGTGGTGGCTTCACAGGGTTCATTTTATTATGCTCTGTAACTTAAACATTTGTTATGCATATTATTTTGTATGCATAAAATGTGATATAATAAAATATCAAGATTCTGATTTTTTTTCTCTTAAATTCAGATTTTTAATTCACTATTTTGTAGCTATTGTTTGACAGTCTTCCTAATTTAGCTACAAAGAAAGCTTGTGAATTGGAGTGCCTGTAGGGAATCTATCTGAGTTCAATAACAATGCACGCTATGATTGCAATTTGGTACTCAGAAATATCTATGTAGACACAGATAACCAGTAGAAGTTATGCCATATTGATAGTGAAATTTCAAATCATATTCGTCTGACCTTCTTCCTGCTTGAATAGCACAGGATCAGGAGATCAGGACTTTCCTAGGATCCTTCTCAATCAATTCTGTTTCAGGAGTCCCTTGGTAAGGGGTAGAGGAGTGGAGACAAGGAACATTCCCAAATAAGGGGAGATGCTTCTCTAGTGATCACTGTAATCCCTCTCTCCCTTTCTTGTGGCCCATTGCCCACTACACTCTTGCCCACTTGACTGCTTGAATGACTCTAAAACATGTGCAGGTCACATCCCAATCTGCTATTAGTCTCCTCTTCTGTCTTTCTGGCTTGCAGAGAAGCTTACTTTGCTTCTTACGACTGACTCTTGATGAAGATTCCCTTAGCAGAGTTGTTGATGGCTCAAAATGACATTTTTTTTTTTTACATATTAACCCTTGCCTTTACAGTGCAGGGAGGGAGGAGAGAGGCAGGTCAGGAGGCTGGGAGATGGGAGCTGGGGGCTGGAGCTGTATTAGAAGGATGGTCAGAGTGGCCTTGCTTCATCTCTGGGTAACACTGATCCCTTTGTCTCCCATGCTCTGCTGTCAATTTGTTCCAATTTCTTGTATGTTTTTCACTCATAGCGATTTGCTTGTAAAGTCTCCATTATTTCCTCTACCAGTTCAGGATCAATAGCGGACTTTTAATTCATTGCATACATCTATTGGAAACTATACCTACCACAAGGCTTTTGGCCCCTGACAGCCAATAAAGAGTCTCACATTTGACCTGACCCCAAATAATACTCATTTGACTTCATGATAAGAAATAGGGGCAGGGAGAAAATATACCAAAAAAATATTTATAATGGTTATATATGGGTATGGGATCATGGCTGACTTTTACTATTGTTTTTACAATTTTAACTTTCTAAATTTTCTTAAATGGACATTTATTAATTTCATATCGAGTAAAACAATCCAATAAAGAGTTAATCAAAAAATATCTTTAAGTAGCTGTTATGTTCCTAGAACTTTATCTACTATCTTGTGGTAATCACTGTTGTTAGAAACATAAGATAATTCCTGTTATTATAGGTTTTTGTTATAACAAAAGTATCCATAAGTAGATCTTTTTACTTTAAACCTTACTTAGAATATTTATATTCTTTCTCAATTAACTTCCATTCTCAATGGCTCTCAAAGTTTTTAAGTTGTAGTCATCTTTTCTCCACGTTGTCTCTTTTCCAGGTCATATTCAATGAATCACCTGTTGATAGTCTCTTGAGTTGTTCACATCTAACTTTAGAATGGAATCTGAGCCCTTCTTTGCATGACACTGTTTCTTGCAAGAAAAAAAAAATCTCTTATTTTCTCATTACAGGTTGTTATCATCAGAGAAACAATGGCCAGTTCCACACATATGATTATTAAGAGAGTGAATTATATTAGAAATGTGATGTTCCACTCAAAAAGCTTAACACCAAAAAAAAAAAACACAAAAAACAAAAACACATCAAATAACCCAATCAACCAATGGGCAAAGGAACTGAACAGGCATTTCACAGAAGAAGAAATATGATGGGTCAACAAATATGTGAAAAAATGTTCAATATCACTAGCAATTAGAGTCAGAATGGCAATTATCAATAATAATTATTACTTAATAATAATTATTTTTTTAAAGAGAGAGTGAGAGAGAGAGAGAGAGAGAGAGAATTTTTTTAATATTTATTTTTCTTAGTTTTCGGCAGACATAACATCTTTTATTTGTATGTGGTGCTGAGGATCGAACTCAGGCCGCACGCATGCCAGGCAAGCACGCTACCGCTTGAGCCACATCCCCTGCCCTACTTAATAATTATTAATGGCAATTATTACTTAATAATAAATGTTGGCGAGGATGTGGGGAAAGAGGTTCACTCATACACTGCTAGTGAGACTGTAAATTGGTGCAACCACTGTGGAAAGCAGTATGGAGATGCCTCAGAAAACTTGGAATGGAACCACCATTTGATCCAGTTATCCTACTCCTCGCTTATACCCGAAGGACTTAAAATCAGCATAACACAGTGATGCAGCCACATCAATGTTTATAGCAGCTCTATTCACAGTAGCCAGGATTTGGAATCAATGTAGGTAGCCTCCAACAGATGAATGGATAAAGCAAATGTGGTATATATACACAATGGTATATTATTCAGCCATAAAGAAGGATGAAATTATGGCATTTGCTAGTAAATGGATGGAACTAGAGACTATCATACTAAGTGAAATAAGTCAGTCCTCCCCAAATCAAGGGTCAAATGTTCTCTCTGATATGCAGATGCTAACCCATAACAAGGGAGGGTAAGAAGGGGAAGTATAGAAGTTCATTGGATTAGGGAGATGGAAGGGAAGGGAGGGGCAATGTGTATAGGAAAGACAGTAGAATGAACTGGATATAACTTTCCTATGCGTATATATGAATACACAACCAGTGTAACTCCATATCATGTTCAAGATCAAAACTTTAATGGGTTGTACCCCATGTATGTATAATACTCAAAATACACCCCATTATCATATATGACTAAAAACAACAGATACATTTTAGATAATTTTAATTTTTGAGATTTGAAAATATTCAAGAGGAAGAATTACAAAGAACTATTTGTGCTTTCTTCTAATTTGTACTTGAGATATTGAACTGCACATATATTTTAAAGAAAATGAAGCTTGAAAGGAGTAAGCAATCTTGCTGGCGGTGAGGTTTTAAGACATTTCAGTGCAATTGGAAATACCATGTCCTTGGTGACTTCCATTTCTCATGTCATGCTACCAAGCAACCTCTAAGGGAAAAAAATGTTTCAGGTTTGAACTTCAGGTATGATCAAGTCTCAATTTAATCTCTGTTCAGCCATATAATAGCTATATATGTCAGTGACCATCTTGAGCTCATTTCCATAAAGTTAAAAATGGCAACATGTCAAATCAGGATTAAATGGGGTAATATATGTAAAACACTTAAACTGGTGCCTGCCACCCAGTTGTTGTTCAAAACTAATAATATGCTTCTGTTTCAACCCCAATAATATTTTGGTGTAACCTAATATATAGTTACTTGTGGCTTACTATACAATCACTTTAACTCTCAGATTTTATTTTATAAATTTAGCAAATGCAAATGTGCACTCAATGTTTTAATACCTGGGGTTACAAAGACAGTGAAAAAGAAATAATCTCCTGGAGTGTATTTATCAAGTTTAGAAAATGCATTTGCTTACCAGCTCACTGAATTCATTATTGCCCAAGTCAAGTCTTTCCAACTGGGCCAGTTTGTGCATTGACCTATAACAGATAGAGAAAAATACTGTTGTGAGGCAGCATATGACACATTATTCTGAAAAACATTCCAGCCATTCTTTTGTCAGATTTACCTAGTTGTATAGTACATAAAAAATGCAGTATTCTTCAACCAGATATAAGTTGCAAATATACAGAATGTATGCAAAATTCCAGCTGAAAACTTTTAGCAGTTTATCACGATCTACAGCATTAGTTCCCAAATGCCCACTGTATGATTTAAGTGCAGGGATGACACTTAATAAAAGCCTGGGAAGTTTGTTAAATATCTATGCCAGCAGGAAGTATATGGTGGGGACCCAATGTCTATGTTTTTTTAAGAATCACCAAAATTTGAAGAACTAATGGATGAACTCAATCTTAGCAAAGCATCATAAAACAAACTCTACAATGTGACACAATTTTATCATCAGTCTTGTCACTTTCAATTCTTTTAAGTGAGTTTCCATTGCAGACAAATTGTATGTGTTGGCTCCTAAAAATATTGACTTCATGCTGCAACAGCTCTGAATAATTATAAAACGTTGGGGAAGAGTTTGTGTCAAAGGTTGGGATCCTTGGCATACTCCTCCATATTCATTCATCATTTCTCAAACCAATCTCAAGTAAAAATACAACATAAAAAAGAGGGCATTTTCCTGAAAGATTTTATCTCCTCAAGCACCCAGAAAGCTGTCATAAGTCCTACCTATACAGAAACGCATGAAGCAGCATAGAATCAAATACTCGAAATTTTAATTTCTTAGTTTTTAAAGTGGATGAACATTAAGTGAAATACTACTGCAATCCAATCACTGTCAGGCACTCAGAAGTGCTAAATATGTGTGACTTGTTTCTTCACTTGGCAACTCTTACTTGGAGATTATGTCCAACTGGGGTATAGCAGTGAACAAATGGGTAAAAATTCCTGCCCTAAGGACTTTATATCTGGTAGGAGAAGAATGTCAGTAAACAAAATAATTAAGTAAACTATAATATTACATTAGGTGGTTATAAGTACTTTAAAAAAAACAAGTGGAAGATATGAATAGGGAGAATTCATATGGGATTTTATTTTTAATAGGGTAATCAGGTAAGGCTTTATCAAGATGATGAAATTTGAGTCAAGGCTTAAAGGAAATGAAGAAGCATGCTAATAGGAAAATTCTAAAGCAGAGACATGCTGCTTTCTAGAAGGTATCCTAGAGACCAGTTTGACTGAACAAGAGTAGGCAAGGGAGAATAAGGAGATGATGTACTGGGGAGTTGGATTATGCAGTTTTTTAAAAACTTGAAATATTTGCTTTTATTTTTGTACTGTAGACATTTATAATAGAGAAAATTAATCACATTTTAAATGTGAAAACATTTTGAAAAATCATTAGCATGTAACACTTCTATTTAGATCATGCAGTTTTGAAGTTCATTCCTGAGATTTGGCTTTGATTCTGAATAAGATGGAGAGTCACTCAAAGGTTTGGATGAAAGAAGTGATTTGTTTTAAAAGGATATTTGTAATTGCAGGCTTGTAAATAGACTGAGGAGAACCAAAGTAGAAACAGAATCAAATAAGAGGTTAATGTAGTAAGCCAACTGAAAGGTGATGGTGAGTTGAGCCAGGGTGGTCGCAGTGGAAATGCTGAGAAGTGGTTGGATTCTGGATATGGGTAAGATTGGAGCCATGTTGCTGATGGATTGACCATGTGAAGTGACATAAAGAAGGGTCAAGGTGATTAAAAGCATGTCATGGTTGAACAACTGTAAGAATGGAGATGCAATTGACTGATGGAGATCAGGTGAACTCAGGTTGTGACTACTTGAGGTTGGAGGTTCAGTTTTGAAAATTTAAATTAGAAATTTCTGTTGTGCAGTCAGTTAGAGATGTCAAACAAGTCTGCAGTTCAGGGAGGAGTCCAGAAGAGATAGATAAATTGATCTTGGTAGCACATGGATGGCAATATAAAGTCTTGAAAATATGAGATCACCAAGGTAATGAGTGTAGATGGGAAGATGATAGGTTTAAGAGGACACGAGGATTTGTCAACAAAGAAGACTGAGAAGAAACTGGGGTCATAGAACAAGTATTAGAAGAGTGTGAAGTCTTTGAAGCCAAATAATGAAAACACTTGGAAGTGGATGAAGTAACAAAAAATGACAAGTTGCTGATGGATGAGAGAACTGACCACCTGACTGAACATGGAGATTAGTATAGATTTTGAGATCAGTTTTCCAAGTGTAAATCTTTTACTATTTTTTTTCTATTTCACATGCCTTTACCTATTAATCTCTCAATATTACATATTTGATAGTATAAATATGATGATTTTTAAATTACTTTGCCATGTCTAAGGCATTGTTCCTATTATGAAGAGGCTAATAAGGCTCTTAGGTTGCTAGGAACACTAGGAGAGGTACATTTTCTGCCTTATGGGAGAAGGAAATAGTAGGCTTTAATGAGGCTTCATTTTGGAGTAGTTGATCAAGTTCCATGAGAGTCAGGAGACATGGTCATTTCAGGGTAAAATATCATTGAGGGACTTGAAAGAGATGATGGCCCATCCAAAAAACTATGGGATGGTAAATATAGTAAGAAATAAAAATCAGCAAGAAATAATCAGAAAGTAGTAAGAAATAAAAAAAAGAGATGTCAGCAAAGGCCAGATCATGAGGTCATTTTATATGTCAAGCCAAAGAGTTTGAGTTTTACTTTGAAGGAAATAAAAGCCTTTAATATTCAGGTAGGGAAGAGATATCCTATTTGTGTTTCAGAAAGCTCACTTTGGCATCTTGGAATGATGTGGGAAATGTCAGAGGATGTATGAGCAATGAGGCCATATAAGTTCATGTGGGAGAAAACTGAAACGGGAAATAGGCAATGTAAAAATGGTTAACATGCTAACAGATATGAGAGATACTTTGGAGAAAGACATGACTTGAGTCATTATGATGACTAAATGTAGGACATTAAAAAGAGGAAGAGCCAGGTGCAGTGGCACATGCCTGTAATTCCAGAGACTTGGGTTGCTGAGGAAGGAGGATTGCAAGTTCAAAGTCAGCCTCAGCAACTAAGCGAGACCCTGTCTTTAAATAAATAAAATTTAAAAAAGGGTTGGGGATATGGTTCAGTGATTGAGCACCCTTGCATTCAAACTCTGGTACAAAAAAAAAGAGGAAGATATTAAAGATAGTTTCTAGATTGAGTAGCAGTATGGGAATATTGGAATGGAATACATTTAATGTGGAGACTGGTTGGATGCAATGAATTATATTTTAAATATTATATTTAATATAATATGAAACACTTATTATGGAACAGTGAAGGGGGAAGGGTAAAAGTCTTGAATGAAAATAAAGTTTTGAGAAATAAAAAGGTGACCCTTCTTATCTGTGGTCTTTTTTTTTAATCTCACAGTTTTCTTTCTTTTCCATGATTTACTTGGAATTCACCACACATTTTCTTGAAATGTTGGTTTTTCATAAATACATGCCTCTTTTCTCCATCCAGACCTTAAAATATGTTTTGGGATGCCTAGAAGGGCTTGGTGGGACCACCAGCAGTACAAAGAAGGCTGTGAAATCTTGCCCTACTTTGTAAGTTAAGCATCTGCTTCACCTCTTACCAAATCAACACCAATGAACAGGTGCTTCTGATTAATGGGATTATGTGACACCTGGGTCTCATGAAGAGATCCTTAGATTTTTTTTCTGATTCTGGGAATATTGTGGAGTGGCAGATTCTCTCAAACTTTTCTCTGGAAATATATGCGCAACAAACAAAAACAATGGGCACCAAAATCTTGGGAGCCACGGTGTTCAAGGGGTCACATTGGCATGTGAGTGACATATTGTCACAGGAGCAGTAAAGTCACTTTGTTTGACTTACCCAAGTATTCTTAGGCAACAAGTATTCTAGTGAGAACACCAATGATCTAAAGACAAGCCCTTCCACAATTTTCTGAATTTAATCTTGTTGTCCAAGGAGAACATAATATCAAGCTGAGAATAGATTTTTGTTACCAGCCTTTGTGATTGAAGACCAAGACAAAATTAATTTTATTAAGTTAAGAAAGGAATGGTTCCTCAGTTTATACGCAAAGGACTTAAAATCAGCATACTACAGTGACACAGCCACATCAATGTTTAGAGCAGCTCAATTTACAATAGCTAAACTATGGAACCAATCTAGATGCCCTACAACAGATGAATGGATAAAGAAAATGTGGTATATATACACAATAGAATATTACTTAGCCTTAAATAAAAGTGAAATTATGGCATTTGAAATGGATGGAACTAGAGAACATCATGCTAAGTGAAATAAATCAATCCCAAAAAACCAAAGGCTGAATGTTTTCTCTGATAAGTAAATGCTGATCCATAGTGGGGGTGGGGGATAGAGAAGAATGAAGGAACTTTGGATTGTGTAGAGGGGATTGAGGGAAGGGGTGGGGTTATGGGGTTGGGAAGGATGGTAGAATGAAGTAGACATTATTACCCTATACACATGTATGATTACATTACTGGAGTGACTCTGCACCATGTACAGCCAGAGGGATGAGAAATTGTGCTCCATTTGTGTACAAGGTGTCAAAAGGCACTCTACTGTCATGTACAACTAATTAGAACAAATAAAAAAAAGAGTGGTATCTCTTGAGTAGCAGTATGGGAATATTGGAATGGAATACATTTAATGTGGAGACATTTAATGTGGAATACATTTAATGTGGAGTGTCTTGAAGCAAATTTTATTAGTTATAGAATTTGTTTTTTTCCTAGTATAAATATTATTGATGTCTTAAATTATCTCTTGTATGATAGAAATTTCCAGACCCCAACTAAAATTTGTCAATATTTATTTTCCAAAACAGGACCAGACCCAAATATGTCACTTCTGTTTTTATAAATAAAGCTTTATTGGAACATAGCCATCTCTATTTGTTAACATAGAATCTATGGCTGCTTTTGTACTATAATAACAGAATTGGTTGAGACAGACTGTGTGAACC